TGTTGTTGTTGTTGTTGTTGTTGTTGTTGTTGTTGTTGTTGTTGTTGTTGATCATGAGCGGTACCAGGATGTACAAGGGGTTCAAGGACTTGGAGCATCCTTTACAGGAACCCAGGTGAGTTCTATGACTAAGCTACAGGAGTGGGCTCAGTTTCACAGGAGGGGCACGCTTTGTTTGTTGGGGCGAGCATATTTTTTTGGAGAATTCCATTTCGGAATGACATGACGCCAAGTGAGACCTCACCCCAACTAGAGCATGGTTGGCAAAACAGCTCGGACCCCACTGTGAGGTATCTCCAAGACCCTCCATTCCCTTCAGATCCGCAACAAACGCCTGGAATCCTGCAAGTTCGGTGTTTCCACCCGTTTTTTTTCCCCAACCTGTTAAAGTCCGAACACGGGCTGGGCAGGAGGGTCGCTGGGCAGGGGGTGGCTGTTTTAGGAAGTGTCTAGGTCGTAAAGCTCCGGGCATTGCTTTATTTAAGCCTGTCTGACGCTTCTAGCAGGTGGACAACTTTTTCAACACTAGCATTGGGAATCGACGTGTGACAAACTTTCCTTTTTTGCACCCTTGGTGTTTTGCCCATTCATTGCGAAATGACCTCCTCTTGCAGGAAGCGTGTGTGTTTCCGTCTCTTCACAAGATGTACACGTCCAAAACCAATCATGCCGGTGCAGCAAAAGGCCCCCGGAAGCCTTGACGGCCGAGTAACATTCGTCTGGTTTGTCACAGTAGCAAAGACGATAGCTTTCATGTGCATTTTGAGGAGAGAGCACTGAAAGATCAAGCAATCAAGAAGAAGGAGTGAAAGAACTCCACCAAAGGGTGGCTCAAGAGTCGACTCGAGGTCGACTCGACAGCGCCCCTGAATTGAGGAATACTTTGAGGAATATCGAGGAATATTTCACACATGCGGGACATTTGTGCTTTGGTCAATGCTCACGCTACCGCTGCAAACCTAGCACTATAATTACTAATGACTAAAATACAGCGCCCCAAACTCCAGAGCTTCACCCCATGCTGGGGTCGATGCGGACGATTTGTTGCCAGCAAATCCGCCCAACTTGGCCCAGCGGATGATGGACATGTTGCATCCCTTCTTTTCTCGTTCTGGTCAGAAGCTGGGTAAGCTGGAAGCCCGGTGGAAGCCACTCAACGCAACATGAGTCATGCGTTATGCTTGGCCTTGATTGTTGACCGCGTGTGGAGGTTCTTCAGAACTACGCTGGGAAGCACGAAGAGGTCCTGGCCGAAGTCTTGTTCGAACCAATGAGGTGCCGACGCTGTCCATTTTCGTGCCTTGCGTTTGTCGACATGATCGGTTTTCCCACATTTTGGATTGGAGGGCTTAAGAACGCTTGTCTTTTGATGATCCATGGCAAACACTGGACCCGACGATGTGAAGCACAGAAAGCACATCTTTAAAAGAAGTGCGTTGTCTTCAGAGTACCGTACACGCTAGGACCGCTACGATTCGTTTCGATTCGTGTTGGCACCAACTGCCATTGCCGCCCAAAGGACCACCGCACGCGTATCGCATTGTTCGAGTTCACAGCTAACCACTGCCACGACCACTCGCTCCGCACGGTTTAACGCTTCGGAGCAGGTCGATCTTGCAAGACTTTGGGAACTTTCGCGCCTTGGTCGAGAAGACCATCGATCTGCAGCAGGCGGAGCTCAGGACCGATGGGAGTTCTACAGGAACCACACACACGCGGACGCGGACCCGCACGCGGACTGGCACGTCTGCGACCGGGGTGTTTGTCCAAGCATGTCCAAGCTTTCGAGTGAAGGGAGTTCAGGAGCAACTCATTCTGCAACCCAACTCTCGAGTCAGGTGGTTTCACTATGTTTGATCATCCCACATCCAACAAATAAACAGACAGGGGATTACAATGGATTACAGGGGCATTTTTTTAGCCAATGATCAGTATATTCTGTGAATTTGCTCATGCTGACTCACTCCGATGTGTGAGATTGGGGTGAAAGAACAAAGCACGGACGAGTCCTGAGTCCAGCGCTTTTCTTTCTCCGCCCGTGGGCGGATGGACGCCCACCGGCTAGAAAAAGGACTGTCCCACCATGTTATCCCGGATTCTTTTTTGTGGTTTTGCTTGGTCACAGCTGGAAGGAACTATTGCATCAGCGCGGCGTTTGATCCTTCCTTGAAGCAACTGGCCCAACAACGTGACAAAGTCCGAGCTCAGATGGAGGTGCCTGATCGCTGTGGGGCCGCCGCTTTTTTTGGTTCTGCTAACACGTACGGCCACCTGGTGCATGGTTTAAATTCAAGATAATTCAAGCCATTCCGACAAATCCCATAGATTGTTGAGTTGAATAGACTGAGGTCTTGTCGGCAAAAATTCACTGGCCTCGGCTGGCAAGATGCCAAGTCAAGCTGCACGATTTGACGTGTTTGATGGGATCTGACAATATATTAACAATATATTATAGATCTATTAAATGGTTGATCTGGTTTTGTCGTGTAGATCTGGTATGATCTGGTGTAGGTTCAAACAATGGTTTGTTCAGTAAAGGCTATTAAACAAATGGTGCCTCGACTTCTGGAGAGGCCCTTGTTTGAAGGTCCCGAATCGGTTTTGTTTCTTCTCGTGTTTTTTGGATCCGAGTCTGGAGTCTTAGAGGCACCGTCCGTTTCGGGATGTGAGTCCTTCAGTCATTGTTGCTTTGTGTCGCAGCTATAGTTGCAGATGAAGATGTCTGGGAAGCCATATGGTAGAAATGTATCAACGAAGAGCAAACAAAGAGTAGACAAGAAGGGTCAGATCGTAGGCATGGGCCTGTCTGTCTTTTTCCTTGAGCCCCTTGACTTTGCGCAAGTCTTTTGGTGCAGTTTGGATGAACTTGAAAGTATTTTGGGCGACCCCCATAGAACCCAGTCTTAACATGATCCACCACCCTTGATCCACCACCCTATCGGCGATGGAGTCGAGCGGGGCTTTCCCCCCCGTCTTCTTTCGACGGCCACGAAGTCGCTCCAGGCCACGCGGGCTGAAGTGGACAAGAAGTTGAGCCTGGGAGGCGAGCAGCGCCGAGCAGCGCCGAGCAGCCGATGTGACACTTCGAAAGACTGTGATGGACTCGCGTTTTGTGGCAGGAAGATCATGATATTGACTTTTTTTTTCAGGTCTTCGAGGGGTCTATTCAATCTGTTGCCTCAAGTATACCCAAGAAAGTGGATTGCAAGACTTGGAACTTGGAAGTACTGTATGTCATTTTGTGATCACAGCGGGCAAGTGGGCTACACGTGACCAACGCAACCACCAATCCGGCAGGTGGGCTCACATCGTAAAGACCAAACCCGTGACTCCACGTTTGCACCAATCTCTGGGCACTCGTTCTCATGGGGTTGGTCCCTTTCTCCAAAGACTTTCAACCCAAAACCGCCCTGGCCGGCAGTTGTTAGGGACTTTGGTCCAGCTTCGCCATGACCCGGACACCCACCCGCCACGGTCCGACCTGCCCCGGTGGACACTCCGCTCTGCCGAGCCCGTCTCCCGCACTCGAATGCCGAGGCCGAGGCAACGAGAAGCCCGTCTCCTTGACGGAGTGCCCGGAGGGATTGGCCCTTCGCGTCACCAAGAAGCACCAGCAGGCCGGGGTGGGTGTGGGTCCTTCCGGATGGCGGCGGGTTTCGAACTCGGTTCCACTGAGTTCCCAGTTGAGTTCACACGATCTGTCGCAGCAGGTTCCATCACTTTTCTGGGGGAGCCTGAGCGTATGAACAACATTGAACAACCACTTTTCTGAGTGCGGTTGAGAGGGTTTGTGGGAGATGTGGAGGGCAAGAAACGCCCTTCGTTTCAGATGCATCCAGCTGAATCTCATGTTTCCTCGTTCCAGTGATCCGTTCAGAATGCATTTCTCTGGATATGTCAATGTCTCGAGGTCCGTTGAGGCATTGGCTCTGACCGCGGGAACCCCCGCGCGAACCCCGCGCATGACACGACGCGGTGCCCGCGCGACGAAGGCGATCCAGAAGTGGAATGGCAAACCGGCACTGAAGGCGGGACTATATGAAGGTTTTGCAGTTCTTGGCAGTTCATAACGAGTTTCTGTGAAGTATAGTTTTGTCTGTGAAGGAGGTACTTGCTGTAGTATTCATTTGGGACCGATGAGAACAAGTGCACAACTATATAGTCATCCATTCATCCAACAGGTGTTTTTGGATGTTTTTTGGTGTGGTTCACTCATGCCAAGCTGGTGTGGGCTCTGGCTCTGACTGAGCTACTCCAAGCTTGGCAGAAATCCAAGCCTTTCAGCTCGAATCAGCTCCAGTCAGCACATTCTCATCCTGCCAAAAGGCACCCGTCTCGAGCCGAACGCCAGGACGCCAGACATGGCACTTTCTGGATCTTGAAGGGTTCACACTGGATGGGTTGCCCAAATTTGGAAGGCCATAGCAGACCCATCCGGAAAAATCCCGAGATAGAGGTTTGTTATGGTTTGTTATGGTCTGTTGCTTGCCCAAACACTGCGCTGGAGTTTCTTTGTCGGAACACTGAAGCTGTTAATTCTCAGAGAGCTCGCTGCACCTGCTCCGCTGCTCCGCTGCTCCGTCCAAGATCCTCCAAGATCGAAACGGGACCCAGTCCCGTTGCCCCCCCTCTCCACACACTCCTTCCCAAAGATCCAGGTGCTTAGTATCAAGAAGGTAGAGGTCTTCTTCACCACCAACGAGTTGGTCAAGCTGAACAAAGACCTTCAGCAGGCGCCTCGCCAAGAACGCCTCGCTCTGACGCATCTCATGGACGAGGCATGGACCTGAGAGCTCCCCAGAAGTGAATCCCCAAATCACTTGGGAGCTCTGCTCCCGAGCCGAAATGTTCCTAAGCTGAGCTTTGTTCAGTCTAGGTGTTTGTTTTCCTGTAGAGTACTGCCAAATGACAAGTATCGATGTCCACCCAGTGGTTCCCGGATTCTGAGACACTGAGAATTGTAATCTTTCTTTCTGATGGACTTGTCCAAGCCACGGTGTGAGACTCGTCGGTAACGGTTCGGTTAGTAGCAGATGTTCGGATGATCAACGGATATTTGGGGGAGACTCGGAGACACATGCGGATTAGATCACTCTGCTGATCCCTTCTACTAAAAAGATCTCCGAGTCGATTGGTCGAGTTGTCCAGTTATTGCATGGCGGAGTCTTGAAGCATCTGCCTTTTCAGAGTTCCCGAGGCCATCGATGAATACCAGCAGCAGACAGACGCGTGGGCCTGGCTACATTGGATCTTCCATAGCTTGACCAGCGCGATGCGCCCCCAATGTCCTCAGAACCAACCGGCCATGTGCAGCACATTCTCATCAGACTTGGGTCGACCTCGCGAGAACGACGTCGACCTCGCCGACCTCGGTGGCCAGGTTGGTGGCCAAAGCCCTGACCGTCGCGAGCACCTACAGCTCCGTGGTGGAGCGACTTGTTGGGGAGCCCAGAGAAGGAAGTGCCACAAGTCGTAGACCGTTTTGGGTCGTAGAGTGTAAGAAGCAAAGAGGTGTGCAGGATCCAAAAACGGTTTGTTTTCCAAGAACACTTGCGGCATGGCCCGGCATGGGCTTGGGCTGGTGGTGAAGGTTGTAGGGGCTCCTGCCCGTAGATTGTGTGCCTGAAGCTAGACATCAGACATCTTGATCTTCCCACGAAGTGACACTCAAGCTGTGTTCAGTCTAGGACTTGACCTTTTCAAGTCCTAGTTCCCTAGGGCTATATTAGCAACCCCGGATCTGTCAAGCAACCGTGCCCGCACGTTGGACATCTTCTGTTTGCATGCGCCCCCACGGGCCGACGACAGTCCCAGGGAGATACACTCGCCGACTTGGATGTCTTCTGCTCGTTGGCCCGGGTGGCGCTCACCGCGCTGGGGGCCCCCAGTGTGCTTGCTAAAGGGGAAAGGCCTAGGCCCCGCAACGGCATGCTAAAAATCACGACAAGTGCGAAGCGAAACATGAACCCTGCAACGACTCAGATCCCATTCAAAACGAATGCCAGCCAACACTCCCGGATGTTCTGGATAGGACACCACGAAACATGTCCAAACTCGTGACAGCACACTCCCGTCCTGTCCTTAAGATGATTCAGATTCACATCAAACATCTTCTGGATAGGACCAAGGACGCCTACTAGGGGCTCCTGGCATCGCTACTAGAAGCAAGGACGCTACTAGGGGCTCCTGGCCGTACTACTAGGAGCAAGTAGCTACTAGTAACAAGTAACGTAGCTACTAGCCCACCCAGGCCGTGCAACTTTGTGCGTGCCCAGCTGGATGAGTCGGGCGCGTGGCCTCAGAGCCTTTATGATCACATTTCATGGCACCCGGGCATCCTGGTTGACCCCGGGTCAAATGATCAGATTCCTCTATGTTCGGGATGTCAACCTCCCATGGTTGGTGCCATGAAAAAACGGCCACATGAGCGCGAGTCCGGCCCGAGCACTTATGACTTTTTCTGGAGTTCGGACATGTGGGACGGTCAAAACCTGGAACATCCTGGAACCCGGAAGCGACGAACGTAAGTAACAAGGGCATCGCTACCAACGTAGCTATAGAAGCTACGAACGTCGCTCCTGGCATTACTACTAGGAACCAGAAGCTGCTAGGTTGCAGGCCATTGCTACGAACGTAGCAAGAAGCTACTAGGAGCAAAGGGCATTGCTACTAGGAGCAAGGACGCCACTAGTAGCTCCTGGCCTTACTACTAGTAACAATAAGCTATTGGTAGCAAGAAGCTACTAGGGTGGAGCGTCGGAACTATAGCCCTGGTAGATCGACCAGTTCACTCGCTGGCGAGATGCGTATCGGGATACGCAGATCACCGCACCCTGGACTAATTGATCCAAGAGCACGACAAAGCCAAGAACAAGGCAGCTACTAGAGACTCCAGAGGCAGACTACAAGCTCAAGGGACAAAAAGATGAATGGGTGTTGGATCCTCCCACACAAAACAGATTCCCACCAAAGGGCTGGGCTCTGTCACTGTTCGTTTGGGGTCTGAAGGCGGGGGATGGTGGGGGTGCTTATACTACAGTACTGTAAAGGGGGAAAGGGGTTCATGATCCACGGTCACTAGATAGGAAGATGGGAAAAAAACCTGTTAAGGCCCAAAGTTCATGCAAACCTGTCCGGATGCTTGTGATTCTGTGGAAAATCTCCCAGGATGTCGGCCCGCATCCTCACGATCCGCACAAATGTTTCGCACAAGGCCTGTGGCCCTTGAGGTCAGACCTGCAACATTCAGGGAGCAGTGCATGTGCTGGTCACCGCAAACTCAGAGCAGCTCGACCGCAGAGCTATTTTTAGGAGGTACTGGCACGGGGCAGTGCATGAGCGGGAGGCGCTTTTTGTTGAACATTCCCCTGATGGGGCACGCTCCTAGTAGCGATGCCAGGAGCCCCTATCCTAGTAGTAAGGCCAGGAGCCCCTAGTAGCTACCTAGCATGTCAGGCAAATGCAGGTGACTTCTTCTCCGGATCACCCCATGGTGTCAATCCGCTTCATGCCATTCCGACATTCTTGGTGGAACTCTGTAAAACATCTTGTAAAGCGGGTAAACTTATCTGTATCTTGTATTTCTTTGTGACCTTAGCTGCCGGCTATTACACTATTACTCCCCCGGACTACCCATGTCAATGTCACGCAAGCGTTTGCCACAATTCTGTCATCAGTTTTCTCATTTGTGGGGAACGTACCATACCGCTATGTGCCGCTATGTAGTCCACAATGAGCTTTGGGGACTGGAACCTTCTGCAATCAACACCAAGACATTCTGCGTCGATTCTGCGTCTGACCTCCCTCCCCACCGGCTTTTCGTCGATGTTGCACCCCAAGTCATGGCGGTCCAAGACCGCCTGGAAGATCCTGGCGGTCCAAGTCCTTCCCACACCACCGCCCGGTCGTAGGCACCTCCGTCCTTCCGTCCTTGTGGGCCACGGAGGCAGAGCTTTGTGGCCAACGACCTCCAGATGCACCGAGACTCGCCCGGGCCCCCACGGGTCTCTCGCCGGGGGCACAGGGTTTGGAGGCGAAACTCATTGGATGCGGTGTTTCGGCGAGAGAGAGTTTCAGAATCCGGGCCGTTCTCGGGAAGGGTTAGGATCCAGTCCAGGCCTCGCCTCCTATGATCGGAGGGATCCAAGCCATGGAAGAAGATGATTCTTAGGGTGAAAGAAAAGTGGAGGTCCCCCAGAGAGATAGAAACACCATGAACCAAAAGCTGAAAAACCAACACCGGAACCGCGGGGTTACCTGGCTAATACCAGGCCCCCACACCCAAAAGATAGCGTAAGTGGATGTGGATCTCCAGCCACCCCGTCAGGAAGCTCCAGGTACACAAACACTCCCTGAAATAAGCATGGCTACGGATGGCCTGGCTCCGAGTTCGGATGACCATGAAACCCTACTCTCTAGGACTCTAGGTGGTGCCATCCACGTGACCATGATGACTTCACGGAGTGTCCTTTTTAGACTTCGACAAGACCATTGGGTGGCCAGGTCCTCGCCGTCACCATCGCCCGTCGCGGCCGAGTTCCGAGGTCACGGCTACACCTCATCACCGGACCGAACATGGGCGGCAAGAGCACTTATATCAGGCGCGGCCACGGGTCGTGGGGTGGTGCGTGATGACTGGTGGTCAGGACCTTGCCACAGCAAATGCTGGGAGAAGCCTGATAGCAGGGTGAATCACCAAGATAGTTCTGAACCTTACCATGCCAAAGCAAGATAAAGACTCAGAGATGTAGGCCTTCGTTTTGAAATAAACCTCATCTATCCCAGCATCGAACAGGTCACCAAGTGAGACCCTCTTTGTTACAGGGGGCCCTTCCCAGTCCTGGACGTTTGGCGGAGTCAGATGCCGCGAGTCGGTCTTGTGTGGGCCGGCGAGAGTCCTACTCAGTCCGGAGGTGGCGGGAGTATACTTGGTCTAGTTGTAGTATGGATGGATTGGGATTGCTCGTTCCGGGCTGCTTTGCTCCCTCGGCTCGCTGCTCGTTCATGTTCTTGCCGCTGACAGTTCGCTGCTTCTCAAAGCGGACCAAGAATGGAGAAAGAGATCAAAGGATGCAGACCTGGCTGGGGGTTGTGGAAAGAACACATGTTGCAAGCCTGGTGAACATCTGTTTCGCAACAGATGTGGCAGTGGAGGCTTTGGGGGGGCAGGCTGTCGCGTGGCCGTCATTCGCTTGTGCTCATGGATACTCATGGCCTCATTCAGTTGGGCCCGTTGATGTCTCTTGCTTCTTCCCGATAGCCGAGCCACTTTTGGCGATTCAGCATGGAGGTTTCCGATGGGTTTGGAGCGATTCTCCATCTTCTGCGTTTGGGAAGATCAATGCCTGGGACCTCTGAAAGACTGGTACACTTCTGCTGACTTTCATGGAGGAAGACCATTTTCCGCTACAATAAGCCTGTGGTTGTGGGGTCCATGTTCATCTGCAGGAGGGTATTTGGATGTTTTCTGGTGAGTTCGGTGCCGGCGCCCCCGAAAGCATCGTAAAGGACGCTCCAACAGCGCAGCCTTCCTGAAACAGGAGGCTGTTGAAGCGTCCGACGTGGTGTAAGATGCGAATTTCGAGATCCATCTCACGTCCGGATCCCTCATCACTTTCGCAGGCCAAATCGCTCCAAATCGATTTTCGACAGGTCCGTGGCCCTCATTGCCTTGCTCAACCAGATGGGCAGCTTTGTACCTTGCAGGGAACCCAAGGATGAGGCGGTCACCATGCGGCATAGCTGGCATCTTTCACCCCCCCACGAAGGCCCACACCCTGGAAAGCCTCAGCTGTGAGTTGATGCTAGCAAAAACTAGAAGTATCAGGATTGTGGGCTTGCGAGAATGCTTTGCTTCGCTCAACGCAACATCACGCAACAACCAAAACCTCAAGTTCACCGTGAAACCCCGGGTGTTTACGGCTTCCCCTTTCACAAAGAAAGATGAAGACGGGATCTTGGTTTAAATCCCAATTTGATGCTTTTGACATGAAGGATTTGACACCTGAAAAGGTACTTGGTCCAAGAACCCTCCTGTGGCAAATGTGGCAAAGATCGTCGGCCAGAACAAACCCACTCCTCAAACCAAAGATCTCGGTTCATGAAAACATTCAGAAACATGTTTGAATATTTATTTGAAGGACATCCGCTTTTTGATGGATTTTCAGGGTCACTTCTTTTGCATGCTGTACTTGTCTAGCTGCTCCCCTGCGTTTGCGCCACGGCGGGTTTCAAACATGGCGAGGCAGAAGTGCCACGCTGCCCTGCTTCGATTCCATCATGCTGGGGGCACAGTCCCTTTTCGTGTGTCGGACGTTGATTGGGCCACGGGGGACAGATGCTGGGGCAGGCGGGCTCGGCCATCACAACATCCTAAATTCTTGTATTGTATTGGAGTGAAGAACAAATACCTCCCTTTGGATGAAGAGGGAGATGACCCCAAACATCATCTTCTCTTTTCAGATGGCGATCGAATTTCTTGCCCCAATTCCTCCGGTCTCCTCCGGTCTCTTCCGCTCAGGTGCCGTGTGGGAGCCTCCGATATGCAATTGCGAGGCGGGCCCCGTGGGTGGTGGTGACCGGAACCGGTGCACGGTCCACCGGGGTCCACCGGGGTCCACGGTCTAGCGGGTCCTCTATGTGCTTAATGACTTGAGGGAAAAGCCACAGACACTGCGGACCTGTCCCTGTGGCTGTGACACAGGACATGACACGGCAGCGAGCGTTTTCGTTTGCAAGGCATCTCCACCTTCATGGCGGAAATGCTTGAGGCCTGGTATGGTGCTTGGGGCCTGGTATGGCGCTTGGATATCAATCAGTTGAAGAGTTGGGAATATGGATGGACAGAAAGAAAGACCCATCACTGCATGGGGGAGGGATCACTGGTGGCTCAATGAGTTGATACAAACAGCGTGTATTGTACATTTAATGTGTTTTTGTTGCCCAGATCCATGATCCCAGATTGGAGATGACCAGAATACGTGAAATGTCTGACCTTTTCAGACGACGGTTGCTGGTAGAGGTTTCCCAGAACAGCAGATCTTCCAAGCCCAGTCTAAACGAGTCCAACGCACGGCAACTCGAGAAATAGAGTCTTCGGAGAACTCGAAAAAAGGACATGTCCGGCCATTCCATGTCTTTCTTTTTTTTGTTTTTCTTCTCTTTGAGAACAGTGCCGGCAGGGCGTTTTCGCTCTTGGTGTTTGGTGCAAAAGCTGCTTTCGAAGAAAGGGGACATGTCGATGGCGGCCCCACGCTGCGTGGTTCTTCAGAACCGAACGTGGAGCTTTCGGACGCGGCTGGGCCGGGCTCGGCCGGGCTGGGAGACGCCCACTCCGTCCACGTCCACTCCGTCATCACTCCGTCACTCCGTGATCCGCGAGGCTGCCTGCATCTTGAAGGTGGCCACCGAGCGTTCTTTGGTGATTGTGGATGAGCTTGGCCGGGGCACTCAGTTTCTGGCGTTTCATGATGTTTCATGGCGTTTCGGTGGCCGAACTGTGGAGAATGGAAGGCAAACTGCGGAGGATGCAGCTGGCATGTGTGTGTGTGTGAGTGGTGTGTGGAGGGCAAGGGCTATCAAACTTATGCAAACACATGTATATATAAACATGAATGTCCACTGTAGGGTTCAGGAGGGTGTGATGACGCAAGCCGGCCAAGCTGGCATGTTCAGGCAGTGGACCATAGAATCCTTCAGAAGCTACGCAGCTACACCAGACATGTGCTTTGTGCTGTGTCCGCTCATCAAAAAAAAAGGGCAGGTCCATTTGCTTGCTGTTCTTCCCGACCAGATTGCTTTGAAGAGTGACCAACCTGCAGAGGGGATCCAACCTGCACGTCTGACGACAGCCGACGTGTAACGACCTGCAGAGCGACCGCACGCTGTGTGACCGGCCCAGGACGACGTGCCACGAAAACACCCCAACACCATGCTCCATTCTTGGAGCGACCAAGTTGTCGACCAAGCCACCCTAAAAATTCAGGATGTGACATCATGATTCCAGACTGGTGAGAGAAAGTTCTGCCTGGCGCCGTTGCACTATCTTGCACCCAATGCCAGCTCTCATCTTTCTTCATGATTCTAATATATTCTAATGCTGTGGATTTATTCAACAAAATTGGGGACTTGGCACATTCATCTCAGAACCTCTGCACCCAAAGTCGCTTCTTTCCTCTTCTTTCTGCACCCAAAACCGCCGTGACCCGGGCGGACCTGCACGACCGTCACGACCGTCGGCCGCGGCTCAGGTCGCGGCACCTCTACGGCCGATGGCTTTGGCCTAGCCTGGGCGATCGCCAAGCACTTGGTGGAGGCCGTCGACTCGACCCCGTTTTTCGGCCCGACACACGGCACACACGTCCCGAACGAACTTGTGGTCGGGGTATTTCATTTCTTTCGGGGGTGGGCCGGGGGCAAACGTTGGATTCTTGAAACATCGTAACATCGCCCAACAGTGGGGGACGAGTGGGAAGGAGTCTAGAAGCTCTCGGACTTTGGGTCTCCCCTTCTTCGAAGTCTCGGTCACGCCGGGAGCGAAGGCTCCCGCCTTGGAGCCGCTGCGAACGTGCACGCGGCGACGACGTGTCGCGCAAGCTGCGAACGGGACCGTGGGGACTTGGCGCCTTGCCAGACCGTGGTGGTGGGAGTTGTTTGGTTTTCCAAGCCTGGCATGGCCCCAGAGTGAGGTGCTGCCTCTTCAGATGTGGCTGGGTGTGTATTTTGGGAGACACCCTTGGCCCTGGCTGGGTAGACTGGGTCTATTTTCTGAACCTTCCGGCAGGTGGTGTTTTCTCGAACTTGCTACACACTGTCTCTTTCTTCAGGAGACCCGGTGCTTCAGCCTCTTTGCGACTCACTTCCACGAGCTGGCAGCCTTGGAACAAGCAGCGCCTGCCGTGCGGAACAGGCCAGCGGAGAGTCTGCAACAGACAGCAGAGTGTGGTGGAGCCGAAGATGGGGGTGGGACAGGAAGACGAGTCGGACAGGAAGACCGAAAAAGAACAAACAGACTAAGAACTCTAGACATGTCTAGACTCTTGACACCTCTTGACTCTGTGCCCCCAGAGGTTCAAGAGTCTTAGGTCATTTTAGGCCTGAGATGCGTTCTAAGGGCATTCTCGAGGCGTTTTCCCGGTGGAATGCTCCTGGTAGTTTGTACCTCAGCGAAAGTCCTCAAACAGGGGGCATCCTTGTCACAACACCGGAGGAATGAACTCCCAGCTCAGATGCCGCAGGTGACTTCTGCAAAAGCCTTGTGTAGATATATGATCAGTCTTCCATTGTTTTTGGATTGTGTACCTTCCCACATATTATATCTACTTCAGGATGACTATAAAGATACCACTTCGCATGGCGGCGCAAGAAACGAGCCAAAGGCATCGTTCCAAAGGCTCGGCAGTCAGAAATGGGTCAGTGTCCACATAATGTTCATGCCAAACTCAAGCATTCTTCGCGAGTTAAGGACACAACTTCAAGTCACTGGCCCAAGATGCATGAATGTCGTTGAATTCCTCTCGAGTTCGTCACAATGGCTTGTGGTTCGTTTCACACCGTGCTTCTCCGAAGTGATGGCAGCGCTGTTCCTTGCGGAGCGAATGATTGCGGACAATGCGACATTCCACCTTTAGATAACGGAATGTCATATATCCAGGTTGCTGCCGGCATAGAACATACGGTGCTTCTTCGAAGTGATGGCACCGCTGTTGCTTGTGGACTGAATGATTGTGAGCAATGCAACATTCCACCTTTGGATGAAGGACTGTCATACATCCAGGTTTCTGCAGGAGGGCATCAGACACTGCTTCTCAGAAGTGATGGCAGCGCTGTTACCTGCGGAATCATGGTGCCCAACATTCCACCGTTGGACACAGGAATATCCTACACCCAAGTTTCTGCAGGAAATCATCACATAGTGCTTCTACGAAGTGATGGGCGTGCTGTTGCTTGCGGACTGGATGACTTTGGAGCATGCAGCATTCCGCGTTTGGATGAGGGAATCTCATACACCTGGGTTTCTGCAGGGTCGTGTCATACAGTGCTTCTCCGAAGCGACGGCAGCGTTATTGCCTGCGGAAGACGTCCCAGCAATGATGCATGCAACATTCCTCCTCCGGGTGAGGGACTGTCATACGTCCAGATTTCTGCAGGCGATTTTCATACTGTGCTCCTCCAAAGTGATGGCAGCGCTGTGGCTTGTGGGAACCACCGCAGTAAAGGACACTGCAACATTCCACCTTTGGATGAGGGAATGTCGTACACCCAGATATCAGCAGGAGAGCTTCATACAGTGCTTCTCCGGAATGATGGCACTGCTGTTGCTTGCGGAGACAATGAGCATGGACAATGCGACATTCCGTCTTTGAAGTCTTGGCGTGAGCTGTTAACCTTTGCAGACCCCATCCACTGCTACGTTCGCAATTTCACACCATTTGATAGTGATCATGTCTTGCAACTGGATCTTGCCTTCGAAGATGATGCAGCCCTGCTCACATGCTGGGACTTAGCGGGACATGAAGTATTGCGCTTGCCGGCACGTAGGTCTGACTTGGCCTTGGACACTCTGAGGCGCATTGCGAGTGGGGTGAAGGTGAATCTCCAAGGTCTTCGAGTGGTTTTGCCTGATGGACAGCTCTTAGCTTCGATTTGTGAAGATCCTTTGGCCACAATTGCTGACCTGGACACGGCGACGTCCCCACGTCTCAATCCCACGTCTCACGCAGCCTTCCTGTTCGAAGAGAGCGTCGGGGGCTCCGTGACTCCAAGGGCCTCCAGGAGGAATTGCAGGATCTGCAGCTTCAAGTACTTGAAGTGACCGAGGAAAACCTCGTGACAGAAGGCGGCCAATGCCAAGGCATGTCAAGGATCCGGTGTTCAAGACGGATACTCCCGCGGATTTGGTGGTTCTGATCCTTGTTTGTTTGCAACATGGGCTGTCCACAGAGTCAACACAATTCACTGTAAGACTGTGCGGATGAGATGAACAAGGCTTGGAGTCTTGTGATGTCTTGCCAGATGGACTCTTACATTGTCTTACATCAATTACCATGCAGTTCATGCAATTCCAAGCAACGTTTCTCGCTTGACCCGATCCCTGGAGCATGTGGAGCCTGCTTCAGACTCCCTTGACCGCTACATGCATCAACCGCAGGTGGTGCTGACTCTGAAGGGCCATGAACCGGCGCTTCGTCCAGCTCCTCGCCACCAATGCGAAGAAGATCGAAATTCAGCACGTACTGAGCAACGTAGCAAACGTGCAGAGAACAAAAAGCGCGTCGCTGAAGTGATCGACGTGATTCTATCTTTTGAAGTTTGGACAATCCCTCTGGTTTCCATTGTGCTTTGGGTTGGTTATAGTGACTCGCTGAAAAGCAGCACTAATTACTCTACTTCGAGTGATCCCCACCATGTCATTTCAATCATTTGTCTTCATGCCATGGTGAGGAGCATGTTTCCATGGTCGTGAGTTTTGTGGTTCTCGACTTTGTTTGTGGGTCCTCGGGTTGTGTGCTGTGATTGTGGTTGTGTGTTGTGGTTGTGTGCTGTGTCTTTGTGGTTGTCTGTGTTTGTGGTGGTTGTGTGTGTGGATGTGTTTGTGGATGTGTTTGTGGATATGTTTGTGGATGTGTTTGTGTTTGTGGTTGTGTGTTTGTGATTGTGTGTTGTGGATGTGTTTGCGGTTGTGTTTGTGGTTGTGTGTTTGTGGATGTGGGTGTGCTTGTGGCTGTGTGTTTGTGATTGTACTTGTGTGTTTGTGGTTGTGTGTTTGTGGTTGTGTGCTTGCGGTTGTGTTTGTGGCTGTGTGTTTGTGGATGTGTTTGTGTTTGTGTGCTGTGGTTGTGTGTTGTGGCTATGTGCTTGTGATTGTGTTTGTGTTGTGTTTGTGGATGTTTGTGGTTGTGTGCTGGTATAACGTCCGGCGGGGGACACTGCCAAGCGGACCTCGCGGTTGAGGTCCGGCGGGGAGCACTGCCATCCGGAGCTGGCCGTTGAGGACGAGGCGGAGGCAGACGCGGAGGAGGACGAGGAGGAGGAAGGCAGCTGACATAAAACCCAACAACCATCACGTGACAGGTGCGGAACTATTACATCATTCGCCCGGACTGACTGTTCTATTTCTTCCGTCAAAGCTATAAATCATGGAGCTCCATCCGTTTGAAGTTCCTGCCGCTGAAGTTTGAAAGGACCTGGACGTTTGATACATTTTGACACCATCAGAATGAGCATGAAGTGCTCAGACGGTCTCAGACTTTAGTAAATATAAACGTTACATGGTGCACTTATTGAAGTTGTAGAAAGCCTCTAGCTGCCACTACCTGCTCCATCGCAGGCATGCCACAGCTGTGGTCGAGCCTGAAAACGGCAGGCTGCGTTGGTTTCGATGGAAAGACAGCGGGCAATTATTTGTGTTGGGGGGGTGCAAACATCATAGGGTTGTTGCACCTTTTGGGGGAACGTCATGGTGTCTTCCTTTTTCAACACGCTCGTAGAGAGCCGCGCTGAACGTTTTCCACCACATGGCAGTTTTTGTTGCATTCCTGGGACCCGCTGAACCGGACGGACAGCGAAAAAAATACATAGGATAAGTAAGGGTTTTGAATGGCTTTGATAGGTTTTGATGTAAAAGGAACGAACATGTTTGTTGCCTCAAAAGCCTCACCAGCTCCTGAGTGAATTGATTTCATCATGTTTCATCCTGCCCATATTTTGGTCGAAGACAACAGTTAGAGCATGCCAGATCGACCAGAAAACGAGCTTCGGCCAGGATGTTTCTATGTTCCAAAGGGGATGGTTTGGTCTTTGGGTGTAGAGTGGGAGAGATGACGGGAGTTGTGAGACACAGCACGGCAGGATGCGCATGAATCATTTGGGGATTTGAAGGAATTCGAGTCTTGGTCGTCTACCGAGCCTCCACCGTTACCAGTCACAACTCCAGGTGCCCAGGTGGGTTTCGCATGGACGTCGCAGGTGGTGTCCAGGTGCTGTGACGGGTGCGCGTTTTCCAGCAGATTGAGACACACTCATCTTGACAAGACGACTCGGTCTGCCCAGGTGTCGTTTCACTTTGAAGGGGCGAGTTTGGAGAAAAACATAGGCACTCTTCTGAAGTAAGTATCATGCAGATATAATCAGATCTTCTTCAACCGCGTTTCGTGCCCACGATCACGTTCGATGCCACGAGATGGGGTGCCTTGTCTTCTCGGAGTTCGCTGTAGTCGGGCTGTTCTGTCGGCTCTTCATCCCATCGAGAAGCCTTCGGGTAGGCTGACTTTCCTCTATGCCTTAGCTGATGGTGCAGCGGACCAAAGCTACGGCAGGGGTGCCCAGGAAGTAAGAGCCTGGCCAGGCCTGGGAGAGAATCTGCGTGTGGGGCCAGGTGTCAGTGAAAAGATGTCCGAGACCAAAACTAAAACTCTGACCCCAAAACAGTGGTTTCCCAGAAGGTGTCTCTTGTATTCATCTCTGGTCTTCCAAATCAAGCTCTCAGCATCCTCCTGCGGAATGCTGTCGTTTGGAAACAACGCATTGTTACATTGTTATTCTCTGTGCACCGTGATCCAAAAAGACATGCCATGACTCAGTGCGGTTGGCGCCCAACCAACTGACTCACTGACTCACTTGACTCTCTGACTCCGGCCAATGTCATTTTGGCCTCCTTTGGGAAAGAAAGCGGTCCAAAGTCTAAAGCATTTGGCTTTCGAAAGACACAGGTCAGATAGGGCAGGAGGGTTTTGGTTGAGGGCTTCAAGTTCTAGGCCTCCCAAAATGGAAGCGTTTCGGACTCAAAGTTGAGTATACCCCTGTTGAAGGCAGATAACTCCACCACGTCACGGCTCTACGGGGTAAAGAAAAAAGTATATATTTCGGATCGAGTATACCGACGAATCCACCTTCCAACAAAACCCCTTAGTGATTCTTCGACCCCGGTCCGTTCGTTGCTTCAGTCGAACAGTTCGGGACCGACGGGACCGACGGGACCAGGTCCCGCCACGTCCGCTCTGGTGTGCGGCGGATCGCCGTTTGGGGCTCCGTCCGAGGAAACTCCGCATGGTTTTCCGGCTACGAACGTAGCTATAGAAGCTAGTAGTAGCTCCTGGCATTACTACTAGGAACAAGAAGCTACGAACGAAACAAGGGCGTCGCTACGAACGTAACAATCAAGAGCTTTCTAACTTGCAGCTTTGGAATCGCTTCACCTGTCACCAGAAAGCGCCGGCGCGACCCGAGCCGCCTCTCGCGCGCCTCTCGATCGAGGCGCCTTCGTGGCGGAGCTCGCCGGCTTCCCACCGCGGGTGGTCCACGATGCCCGGCGCCGCGCGGAGGTGACACGGCATGGGCAGACCGAGACTTCGTCGCCCTAGACCTGGTGCCGAGTCGCCCTAGACCTAGACCTTGTGCAGACGGTGATGTTTTTCGGTGTTCCAAATGCTTAAGCATCTGGTGTCCCTTTTTGGGACCCCACTTATTGGACCCAAGCTGAGATCTACTTCATCTCACGAACCTTCATGCTTTCGTGGTGTCGAACCAACAACTTCTTTCGGTTCGACGCTTTCGGTTCGCACGATTGCTCGGTCCTGCACGGTGTGTTCTTCGTCCAGATTGCTGCCTTGCACCGTGCCGTCTGACGGCATGCCATGCGGGCGCCCGCGAGTTTGGTTGCAGGAATTTGAATCAGCGAGCAGCTTCGGAAGGGCCAGGCCGGGCGCTCTGAAGGGGTGGTGGAATGAGGATGAATGAGGATGAAGGGCTGGAAGTGAGGAAGTGATGGACAAGAAGTCTTGAAGACATTTTCAAGTCAGGAGATGTCAGGAGCCTTGAGTGGCGAGTGCAGGAGCCTTCAGTCGGCTTCTGGGTTGCTGCTACGAGCGTTTGTTTTCGGTTCTGCTCTTTCTGCTCCGAGCTGCAGGAAACACGCAGACGTCACAGAGAGCGTCGACATATGATTTCCCGCCATTCGGTGAATTTCATAGGAATTCCGGAAGACTTCGGTGGGTGCCAAAGAGAGTCTTTAATATGGCGCCGTGGTACAGACCACAGACCGACCACTTCTCACGTCCTTGTTCCGGTCGAGCGGGACGTTCGTTCGTTCTCTCGGCGTCAGGAAACGCCAGAAGGTGGCGCTCCCTGAGACGCTGCAGAGCATCTACGACGCCGAGACAGAGGAGGACTGGAGCCCGCATCTACGGGTTACGCGTTCTGCACTCGGCCGCGGAGTGAGGCGATTTGGGCCTTCCTTTTTACGGACCCAAAAAGACCAAAAGCCAAGCCTACGAGGCTTTGGACGGATTTCTTGGCATTGGGATGTTCTTTTGCCTCGTGTGCAGATACAGTGTGATACGGTGACAATCCGAGTAGATAGCGCAAAACCAGTGCCCCTAGAAGCGTGGGATGCTTCCCAGTTCTATCCTACGATCTGGGGCATGAAACTGGGGAAACGCAGCCAAGTCACTGGATACTTCACAGCCATCCAAGTCAGATCCAAGTCAGCCGGACCATCGGGCGCCGTCGTTCAAAGACAGACCCACGACACCGAGTTTCGTTCACTCGGTGACGTGAGGACTTTGTCCAGCGGACCATGGCGAACTTGTCCACTCTTCAAAACCTCCTGGCTCAAGGTGACCACCTTGGAGCTTCGTTGCTGAAGTGGGTCATGCATGGTCATGCCATGTTGGCTTTCGGTGGGCATGTCTGAACTTGAGAAACAGGAAAAAGCACAATCAGAGGCAAAGAGCTTGAACGGGATTTGTCGAATCCAGGAATGCCTCTAGTGGGTTGTTCTATTTGTCTTTTGTCTTTGAATCCTTTTGGACTGTGTATTTGATCAACTGCCTCCAGCTCCAATCAATCCTTCCATATCATGTCGAAAGCGTTCTTATATACCCAATTCGATAGGTGTCAGTGTGATTCGTGGAAAACTCTGAACTTGTAAATTATGTGAATGATGTGAATCAGTGCACAGATTGGCAGATTGGGGTTTGGTGCTCAGCAAAAGCAATATTATGGTTTGTTCCCGAATCGAAACAGCTACTTGACAAAGACCACCATGTCACAGGATTTAGGTGATGTCCTCATTTTTTGGTGCCATATGAGATTGTTGATGCTTGTTTCCAACCCGCCAAGTGATGACATAAGAAACCCGCAGGTGGCTGCTGAGCAGATCTGAGTAGATGGGTTGCTTGGCGACGTCATGAGAATGGGAATCACATGGGGTTCCCATGCAGAAACTGCAGAGGTTGGTCACTTCTTCCTTTAGCAGATGATTTTGTGCTTCTTTCTGAGGTGCCCGGGACGGATTTTGCAAGTTCCACAAAGCACTCAAACTCACTCAACAATAGACTGAGAATATGTCTGACCATCGCTGCACTCCTCATATTTGTGCATATTTCAGCCGTACTCGCACTGGGTACTTGGAGAGACACCAGACATCTTCTTTTCAAGTCTCCCATGTCCTGGCACACGGCACACCCTCAGGTGTTTTTTCTTTGAATGAAGTCAGCCAAGTCAACTACAGCAGCTACAAAGGACGCTACTAGTGGCTCCTGGCATCGCTACTAGGAGCAAGGACGCTACAATCGTCAGGAAAGCAGGGCCAAGTCTGGTCTCAGGAACCCACGATCGCCATTTGTTGGATGTCATCGGATGGCGAAGCCTTTGGAAGGCACTGCTGGCAGTAATGTTGGATCCTGATTAGTAAAGGGGGGTCCCCCCCCCCCCCTCAAACAAATAGGGGTCCCTCTATAATAAACTATCACCAAAACAAATCTGGATTCCTGGTGAGGGATCTTTTGTAATTGATTGTAGTATTCATTATCCAATTTGTTTAGGAGCAATGTTTTATAAAGGGTTTAATTGGGGAACTGGTGTTTTGGTCAGCTGTCAGTTTTGAAGAAGCCTAGAGAAAGCTATATCAGCTAATGAATCATAATCATTGGCCTCAGGCGCTAAGTAAAGGGAGATTCCATGTGCATTTTTTCCAGTGGAAAAAACTTTTCACAATAGAGGTACCAAAAACAAATTTATTATTGAGGATCAGGTGCCTTCCTGGTCTACTACCTTGAAAATTTGTTTAGGAGCAATGTTTTATAAAGGGTTTAATTGGGGAACTGGTGGTTTTGGT